TGTAGGCATTTTCAGCTGGCAGCTCAGTCTCCTGACACAACAGAAAAAAAAAAAAACGAAGAAAAGATGGGAAATACCATGCTAAAAATAAGCAGGAAGTATGTTCCTTTGACCCTCTTTTCTTTCATATTGCTCTTTGATCGCTCACTTTTTGTGAAATATCCAAGGAACGTCATGTCATTGCATCCTGGTTTTTTTTTCTTCTGAATTTCCTTTTTTGTGGAAATTTAGGGAATGGGGATGGCTGGTAGTACAATGCAATGGCAAGAGCAGTTCTTTTAGTGAAATGGACATATACTACTATACCAGTTGTAGTGTCTTTAATTAAAGAGTACTTATTTCAGGATTCAGAGTTTTATTGCCATACACAAAAAACAGCCCCCCCTTTTTAATACTACAAGACCTTTATTCTGAATAGCACTTGCCTGTAAGTAAATTTTCTAGGAGAATCATTTTAGGAGAATTGACATTTGCTTTCAGCTAAATGCAGAACATTAAGCCCATAATGACACTGAAGGACTCTGATACGAAAATAACTGCAATTAGGATAACGTGGAGGAGAATTTGAATTTAAAATTATAATTGCAATTAACAATTCTTAGACTTGTAGAGTCATAGAACTGTGGACTTGGAAGGGAACATAAGAATCTCACCCAGTCCTCTGCAAAAAAAATCAGTTAAACCACCCACCCCTCATATCCTGGACATAACTTGTTTCAACTTCTACCCTCAAGATGATGCTATATAGGGCATTGCATACCAGAACAACAACAGACACAAGGACAGTTTTTTCCCTATGCCATCACTCTGCTAAACAGCTAATTCCCACAACACTGTCAAACTATTTAGTAAGGCTGTATTACTATTATTCTTCCCATCTTTCCTATTACCTCTCCCCTTTTCTACTTATGACTATAATTTTGTTGCTTGAATCTTTATGATTTACATTGTTTTTATTTAGTTTCCTAGTATGATTTATGTTGATTGCTTATTTAGTATCCTATGACTACCACTAAGTGTTGTATCTTATGATGTATGATGAATGTATTTTTATGATGACTATGATCATGATTTATCACTTATAGCTTTTATGTACACTGAGAGCTTATGCACCGAAGACAAATTCCTTGTGTCCAATCACACTAGGCCAATAAAGAATTCTATTCTATTCTATTCTATTCTATTCTATTCTATTCTATTCTATTCTATCTTATTCACAAGACATGGCTGATATCTTATCTCCCCTCAATCTTCTTATTTTTCCCCCAGGCTGAACAATCCAAGGTCCTGCCACCTAGCCTCATAGTCCTTATATTAACTCAGTTGGTGTCTTCCAAAATCTTTCTAACCTGTCAATATATTTTTGGAAATTTGAGTGGTAAAAAAGTAATCCAGGTGTGCTTTCACCAGTGCAAAGCAGAGGGGAATAAACACTTCACTTGTCATTCAGGCAGCACTTCTATGATGGAGCCCACAATTGCTTTAACCATTCTAGCAATTGTCTCACACTACTCACTGATGTTTAGCTTGTGGTCAGTGACCACACCTTCATCCCTTTCCAATCTAGTGCTTTCAAGCCATCAATCCTATATCTTCTATATGTTCCCTATAGTATTTCTCTCTCAGGTGTAATGCCTCATGTTTCTTCCTGTTAAGGGGCATCTTAGTCCAGTCTTCCAATCTATCAGAGGGTATTGGGCATTGTTCAGGCCTCCCTGCACATTTGATTACCTTTTAATTAACTAGGTTATTAATAAAAAAATTGAATGATATTGACCCGAAGACAGTTTCCTGTGAGTTCATTGATTACTGTTTTCCAGTTTGGTGTAATTGTTAGGGCATGAGTCTAGAGAGCAAGAGATCATGAAGCCAGCTGGGTGATTTTTGGATTAGTTCCTTTTTTTTTAGTCCTGAGAAGCAAGCAAGGGCAACCCACTTCTGAAAATCTCGCCAAGAAAACAGAAAGGTTTCGGCAATCACCAGAAGGCAAAACTGGCTTAAAGGCACAGACGCACAAAATTTTGATGGTGATATTTTGAATGAGACGATTTTCACCTTCTGCTATATGCTGATTCCACTTTGAAATGTTTTTTTCAAAGACACAGTCCTGTGTGTCATTGATCTTTAAATTTTTATTTATGTGTTTTGCTTTCGCTCCATTTGTGCACCGCCTGACTCCCAAAGAATCTGCACTGTAAAAATCCAGCTTCTTCTTCACTCTTGCTATATGTGATAAAGAAGGTTCCTAATCTATTTGTAGGCTGTATATAATACTTTCCTCAATGATGCCCCCCAAATGTTTAGCAGCACAATTCCCAGAATTTCCAGGAAGCACGGCTATTGGCTGCAATTGCTGAACTTGATGAGGATTTGTTTGTTTGCTTGATCATATTTCTAACTCAACCAACCCTGGATGGTTTACAGTAAAAACAACCAATGATAACTCCCCATCCCCCAGGAGAGTCAAACCAGATTAAAAAAAAACATAAATTTAAAAAAAAGAACAAGACCTAATCATGCATATCATCCAACAAAAAAAAACCTGTCAGGTCCTGGGAGGTGGGAATTCTATTTTCAAGGTTCACTTAGAATATGACAAGGTCAAGGCAATGCAATGCAAACTTCAGGAGGGAGGGGACTAGTATTCCAGAGGACAGGTGTCACTGTAAAGAAAGCATGCTTAGGTGCATTGCTTCAAAGATGGGACCTGCAGCATGCCCGCTCTGCTGAATCTTACCGGGGTGGTGGGTAAAAAACATGTGAGCAAGTCCATTCTTTAGGCAACCAGACTGTATGCCATGGATAGGTCATCACCAATTCTTCGAATTGAACCTGAGGATCATGGGATGCAATACAGATTTTACCGTGGTAGGCACCAAACAGGGACAGCTGCCTTTGCAGTTATAGAAATGTTCTAAAGGCAAGGAGAGGAAAGATACGATAGAGAAAAGCAGGTTCCATGATGAAGACTAGAAGAGTTAGAAGGATGAATGGCAATTGTTCTAAGTAGGATTAAAAGGAGAAATAACTGGCTGCATTGAAAATCTGTGGGGTATTCCTTTTGTATTCTGTACTGACTAGAGAAGGAGAGTCCCAGCAGGATAGCTGAGAGGACCACCAAAGCAGATAATAGAGATGTGGCAGGCCAGATGTGAGGTTAGCTCAGAACTGAAGGATGAAGCAGCCGCTGTGTAGAGGACAAAACTGCTTGACGGTTGCTTTGGCACAAGAGGAGAAATGAGGCAGAGGTTGACTGCTGTCTAGATGGTAAGGTACCTCATATAACAGAAAGTGGGAAATACATTCAGCCCGATTGACTGCCCTGCCAGAAACTGCTTTCGTTCAGTTACATAAACAAAAGTAAGGCAGCCTTTCATTAAAAGACAGTGCCTAGAACTGCAAAGCAGAAGTCAAAAACCAAAGCATGAAGCAATAAGAGGCTCCAAATGCAGTAACTAGGAGCATGGAGGAATTGTGGGCCAGGAACTAAGAGGCACTCTTTGTTCCCATCTCCCAAAAATGAGGATAAGAGAATACCCCAAATTAATTAGAAAAAGTTGGGTTTGAAAGATGGAGGATCTGGGTGATGGCCAGAGAACATATTGCCTTTGGTTGAAGTATGGTGTGGTTAATAATTGAAATAAGCAAGCCCAGAGGGCTTTAGTAACAAAGAGGTTTCCCCAGCTCAGCCTGGTTTCCTTTTCACCCATTTCCTTTGCAAACAAGAAAAGCAAAATCTTCCACCAGTGCTCTCAAACGAGTCTTTCTTGGCAGACCGAGTTGGCACCCTCAGAGAAGCAGTGTTACAGCTGTTTGCAGGCCCTGGACTGAATGAAACTAAGCTATATGTTGCCAAGTCAACCCAGTTTTGGGGGATAGGCCATTGGCAAGGATCCAAGTGGTTACTCCAGCAATTCTGGGCTGAGTTTTGAAAGATATTTATTGCACAATCAACACTGGAGTGAGTATACTCACTCTCTCCCACATTTTCTGATGTTCCCGACTCATCACCCATCCCTCCTGGTTCGTAAGGGCTTGGGTTTTGTCTCGTCTCCTTCGTATAATGAAATAATTAACTGTACAAAGTCTCATCTAGGAACTGCTTGATTCAAATCTGGATTCCATTATGGAGTCACTAGGTTGCCACATCCATGTCAGTGTTGCATTAATTAAATAAAGTTCCCTATTAAAAACTAAACTAAACTAAATTAAATTAAATTAATAGAGTGTTACTGAAAATAACAGAAATAAATAAAAAATAAAGTTACAGTAATTTGCAACCTCCCTTACCCTGGGGCTGCCAGAAGTGTTGGCTGTCAGGACTCTGTCATCCTACTAGATTGGTTTGATGAGACTCAGTTCAAATTTGTTTCTTAGCACCTAGCATCAGAGGGCAAGAATTGAAAATTATACCCTCTTGAACTTTCTGGAGAAAAAGTGGGTCCATTGCATTTCCTTCCTTCCTTCCTTCCTTCCTTCCTTCCTTCCTTCCTTCCTTCCCTCCCTCCCTCCCTCCCTCCCTCCCTCCCTCCCTGCCTCCCCTTTCCCCTCCCTTTCCCTTGGCTATATCCACGGCAGCAAGATCTTTGTTGCACCACAGTTTCATGCAAAAGGACAAAAAGGGACATTTCCATTTATCACATGGTCATGTGGGGATGAGAAGAATGGGGGGGGCAGCAACTCCAGATCTCATAGAGCGGGGAAAACGGGGGGAAAGTGGATAGTTGTGACAGAGCAACCAGTGAAACGGGTAATGTGGGGAGCTGTAGAATGGGCTTGAGCAAGGCTTGTCCCACTTTTATAATGTCACTGAAGAGGAACAAGAAAAATCCAAAGATTAGCTATGGTTGTCTTACCAAAGTATTGGGCTGTGGTAGGTGCCCAATGATACCATGCTTAGAGTTATTATTGTCAATAACAAAGAAAGTCTGATCCTGAGGACCTCAAGAAACTCAGCTCCAAGCACTCTCTGATCTCTGCCTATCTTTTCCATACCTTAGCCTGGGACCTCCCACTATGGAGCACTTCCTTCTTCTGATACCCCTCCTGGGTCTGGTGAGCAGCGAACTGCCATTTGTACAAAGAGGATTCTGGGACTTCTCCATGGACGATCCCTCGGTCCAAGAAGAGGAAGAGGCTTCTGGGATCTTCCCTACTTCGAGTGGAGCTGAGGCAGAAGACATTCCTTTCTACCCAGGCCTCTGTCCCTTTGGCTGTCATTGCCACCTAAGGGTGGTCCAATGCTCTGATCTGGGTGAGTCTCTTTCCTTGGGGGGTGGGTGGGGGTGGGCAATTGGGCAAGTCTGTGATCAAGCATTCATTCTGGAGATCCTAGTGCTATGAATAGAGGTAAACATCTATTGTTGGAAAAATTAAACATAGGAAACAAAAGAGTTTAAAATATAAAACAGTTGTTCCAAAAACTATTAGTACATTGAATAATAGGGTTGGGAGGGGTCCTTGGAGGTCTTCTAGAACAACCCCCTGAACAAGCAAGAGATCTATACCATTCCAGCCAAATGCTCTCAAGTGTGAGAAATCAGGAAACCCAAGCAGTTCAAATGAACATAATGGTTTATTGCAAGCTTAAACTTCTCTACAAGAATCTGAACTACTAAAAGTCAAAGCAAATTGGCAGTAGATAAGAGTCAATGGAATTAAAGGTGGGCTGGACTTAGATCTCTTGTGGGCATGCAGGGACGCAAGACTGATGACACATTTGACCTTACCCTTGGGCTCAGCCTGGTCATCTCCTGCAGCAATCTTTTCTTAAATACCTCCGGTGACGGAGCACTCATAAGTTCTGGAGGTGAGCCATTCCACTGGTTAATTGTTCTCACAGTCAGGAAATTTCTCCTTAGTTCCAGATATGCTTTTAGAAGATGGATGGATGGGTGGGTGGGTGGGTGGATGGATGAAAGGAAGGAAGGAAACACAGATAAGAGCAACGATCTGGAATCTTTAGATCTCTCCATCAGGCAAAGTATTAACAAATACAGGGAAGTGACATACTGCTGAAGTCTGCAGTGCGTCTCATGAACCTTGCCAGAACTTCCCACAACAGCTCTCTATCTGGCTCCCTTTTCCAGGGCTTTCTTCAAATTCTTCCCAACCAGGAAATATAATAAATGGTGCATCTAGGCAAATAAAACCATTCTCAGACTAAGAAAAAACAATACAACAAAATCAGAATCGAGTTGGCAGATTTATTCAAACATTAAGCCGTGATACATTTAGAAATAATTTGTTGCCTTGAAATTAAAATAAAATAAAAGATTAATCAGCTAAGGCCTAGTTGCCTCTTTGAAAATTGTTCTTTCCGATTAAGATTTGCTGAAATGAAAGGGATTGTGTTACAAGAATTCTAAAGTATTTTAAAACCAATATATCTTTGGATTTGTTAGGGTGGAGACTTTGGGTCTCTTTGATAATGAGGAGCCTTGTTAATTGTTTACATTACGGTCTCCAGAACTGTCTTTACAGTCTGGAAATTATTTCTTCTACTTAAACGTTAAAGAACATGAACGGAAAATCAATTTATTAATATAGTTGCAAATGGAAGAAGGGAGCACTTGAGCTTCACTTCTTTGCACCTGCTCAAAGTCGCATTTCACATTCAATGATATTTCTGTGAAATACATGGCAGTTCAGTAAAGTCTCAAATTATTTGTCTCAAATTATTTTACTTCACGGTAAATTGGTCTTCCCCCACAAGTAACTCCGAGGAAATCCAGACCTTGGCTTGACAAAAGAAAAAGTTTGGCTTGAGGGTGAGGGGCTACAGCTGTCCTGATGCTCTTTACTTTTCCCTTGTGTTTCTCAACGGGATGAGTGTTTTGCAGGTGTAAAAAGTGCAGGGCTGCATAAATCATAGCTCAGAGTTGAGACAAGGGCACCATCCTGAGGATAAAAGGTTAAAATAGGATTGCCAGGCCATTCCAGTGGCTGCTATTGAAACACTAGTAAAACAGAGACTGTCTTTTTTTTAAAAAAAAAAAATAACTCTATCCAGTTTTGTAAATTAAAGAGATAGAAACTAACAAAAACTAATAATTAAGACAGAACATCCTGCAAGACTGATTGTGCTGTCACTCCTTTGCCTTCTCATACTAAATCACATTATATGATTTGTTATTCATATAATAAATCAGGGAGGATCTGCCTGAGCCGCTTCCTAATGTTATCTCATTGTTTTGGACTTATAAAAGGTTTCAGCTCCTTTCCAGGGTTAGAACAATGTGCATCTATGTATCTATGTACATACACGTGCATGTATCTCCATTAGCAATGATAGGCAAATTTCAGGATTATGTGATTTTCAGTTTCATTTTTAACTAAAACTCCCATTACCCCACCCCCACCCCCACCAACAACAAAATCTGGAGACTTAGTTGAAATATATGCACTTAAAAGCAAAGAATTTGGAGACCAGAAGTTTGTTTTCATGAGCAGAACTTAATCGAGCTGACAGTTCTTCTGCCTGATAATTCCAATCTAGTGATATTGTTGCTGCTGTGGTCAAACAGTGAGGATTCAGATATCCTTATTGCAGCTCCCCCAGAGATTTACCCTGTGTTCTTCCGATTGTACAAAAGGGCACACTGATTCCAAAGCATTTACAGGTACTCCTCCCATATTTCCAGCCGTAATTGAGCCTGGAATTACAGTTGTACAGTGAGTATCATTAAGGCAATCATTAAATGGGTCACTATATGACTGAATTTATAACCTTTTGGCGGTGGTGGTCATTAAGCGAACGAACACCTTGATGGTTATGTCAGATGTAAATGCCTTATTCTCCAATGTGTAAATAATGTATATATGGAACATCAGAGGTTAACTTATTCTTTGGACTTTAATGTATTCATAACTTACCACTCCCATTCCTAGCTCCACCCCTTGTATATATAAGGAGCCACCCTCACCATTCTCGTTGCTTCTACCTTGAATATTCAGTGAATATAGAATGCCTATCATAATTAAAAAGAAATATATTTAAAGCTTTAACTTCTATTATCTTTATTGAGTCTGATCCTGAAAATATTGCAACAGGTTAAATGAACCCATTTTCTTCAATTTGCAATTTTTGACAGAAACTGGAAGTAAATGCCAGAAACAGGCAAACCCCCCCCAAAAAATGCAATAATGTGGCTGTGGGATGCTGCAAACTGCTGTAAATGCGAGCCAGTTTTCAAGCGTCCAAAATGTGATCACATGACCACAGGATGTGTGGACATCAGAACTCCAGAAGTGGGATGCAAGCAGCTCTAGGGAAGTTTATCCTAACTTTGAATGGTCGCTAAGTGAGGACTACCTGTATAATCTAATAGAAATTACAGAGGAGGGTGTCTGAGGGGCATATCAGGGATGGCCAAGTCACCAGACTCTGAATGTGAAGCAATTTTTCTGGTTCCTAGGTCAAGATGTAGCCAGAATTAGCCAAGAAATTGAGTACTTAAACAAAGATTCCCAAAGAATAAATGTGAGGGAACATCTTTATTTTAATGTTAATCTTTCAATGACTTTTGTCTGTAATGCGCAGCTGTATCTGAATGCATTATTTTGATATGGTTCCAACTTCTGTATAAAAAGAAGAGGGTGCTAGGAATGAAATTTTGATTGTCAGGTTATCTGTGTATTTATGAAACTCACAAAGGCTTCAGAGCAAGTAATTTTCTCTTTTGGAAACCTCTATTTTGCTTCTGATTTTTTGAAACAGTCATTTACAGTAGTTTATTCATTCTTCATTGGCCAAGCTCATTAATGGCCTTGTTTGAAGCGGTCAAGGTAAAATACAATTCACTATTGACAATTCTGAGCTGTGCAACAGGATTTCTTCATGTTGTTGTGAGTTAGGCCATCTTAATCACCGTAAATGAATAGTTAAGACTTAGAGAATAAATCAGAGACAGGCAAGCAACATGGAGCAGGCAGACATTCAACAGATGCAGTTTTTGCATGAATTTAATGTTCATTCCAGACAAGGCATCCCCAACGCAATTGATAAAGAAAACACAAGATCTCTTCCACAAACTTTTAATACAGCAGCCACAATCCTGTGAATATTTTTCAGGCATGTGCAGACACAGTATTTTTCCCTCCTCCCTCCTGCAGCCTTGAATAACGTTTGCTTCTAGCACATTAATCACGCATGAGCCACACCAGATTTACCAAGCGTGACTTAGCATTGTGTGACTGTAAACAGGGTAAATAGATGAATGCAGTATGTGGGCAGGGTCACAGCGAATCCACGTGAGGATATTGTGACTGTGATAGCAACCCAAAATACAGCATGGTTTATTGTGATCCAGAACTCAGATCAGAATACGACTATAGTGCCAGGGCTCAGGCCTGTATTTTACTGAGCTAATGAAGGAGTAACCTCTGCTGCCAATATTGTTCCATGTAGGGAGAGAAATTCCTTGGAAAACTGACATCTGTTTGTTTTAGACATTAATCAGAGCCCAGGCACAGCTTGTCAGTCCAGATTGTAAGATTTGTTGGGAAGGAGGAGGAGGGGGAGAAGGAGGAGGAGGAGGAGGAGGAAGGACAGCTGGGTATGGAATAGCTCATGGTATATTGTACATGTGGAGCTCTAGGTCATAACGTGTGTTGGGAAGATAATCAAAGGACGCTTCTGCATGGATTCATTTCCCATCTCCAACCGCTGCAAAATATTTCAGCGCTGGCCATGCAAACATCTTCACTGCTGCTCAGAAAGCTGAGATCAGAGCTCTCACCAGCTGAGCCTCGAAGGAGAGCCAGAACTGGCATTCCGCCAGTGGCCCATTTTCTGAGCACAATAGCTCCTGAAGCAACACACTTTTTTTTTTTTTGCTCTGTTCTAGAGAGAAAGAGGACAATCAAATTGCTGAAGGCATTTATGTTTTATCTACACCAGTTCTAGCTGGTGGTGGCCATGTCCTTCCAAACTCTCAATTGGAGCTCTGCCACCCCCGCCCTCCTTCCCATCAGTTTCTTCCATGTGATCCATTTTTGGCTGCAGAGAGCAAGGAAAGAACATGATGTTTTCTGCATGCAAGGCATTTGCCCCTCTGCCCTTGAGCTATACACCATCCTTAAATATGCAGTTCCCCTGTAATATGACACGAAACAGCTTCTAAAGACAATTCAGGGGAGCCCAGCTCTTGAAAGTCACCAGACCATAACTGTTCTCGAAGAAACAGCAAATCTTGCAAAGGCAGCTTATGGCTTCCTATGGTTCAGTGGCTTAGGTACAATAGCATCAGCGAGCAACAGCACTTGGTGGATCGTATGCCCTCTGCATATTGATGCAGAGCTACCGGTAACTGTAAGGCAGTGTGATACTCTAAAAGATGGAGCTATCCCATCTTTGTGCTCTCTTTCTTGTGGACATTTGCAACTGTCAAGTTGTGAATGTGATGCTTCTGTGCTGGACTGTCTCAAGTCATTGGCTCACAGGTGTGTGGAAAACCCACACACTGCTGCTTTGTGTCATACGTTGTTAGTTGGCAAGGAAACAATTGCAAGCAAAGGGAGCAAAGAAACTGGAAAGCATGCTGGACTAGAAGTGCTGCCCTTTTCAGTTCCCCTGGCCATCCATGATGCTTTCTACCTCACCCACCCACCCCAATCAGTGATTACACTTCATGGTATTTAGGAAGGGGGTGGGGAAGCGGTGGAATACTGTATTGCTAATATATTTCTAGGGTTTGCAAGGTTTTTTAAAAATTCGCTGACAAATTGTGAAACAAGAAGAACTTGAATACCTCATTGCTTGGGTAGATGGTCTTATCAATGTGGGCTGTGACTGATGCATGGGGCTGAGTAGCCAAGTGCGAAAGAAGCCAGGGCTCCAGAGTAGGGGTGAAATTCAGCAGGTTCTGACAGGTTCTGGAGAACGGGTAGCGGAAATTTTGAGCAGTTCGGAGAACCAGCGAATACCACCTCTGGCTGGCCCCAGACTGGGGTGGGAATGGAGATTTTGCAGTATCCTTCCCCTGAAGTAGAGTCGGAATGGAGATTTTGCAGTATCCTTCCCTGGAGTGGGGTGGGAATGGCGTTTTTGTAGTATCCTTCCCCTGCCACGCCCACCAAGCCATACCCACAGAACCGGTAGTAAAAAAAATTGAATTCCACCATTGCTCCAGAGCCTTAATTTCAGCAAGGGCTAAATTCATTCTCTTCTCTGTGATTGACAGTACAGGGCCTCGTCCATTTTGGCTTTCCAGTCTTGTCTAGCTGATCTTGTTTCAGCCTGCCCTGGATATCCCATCATCTGTCTGTGTAGCCAATCCTGACTTTCTGACCTGCCTGTTTCTGTTTTTTTCCAGGTCTCAAGCAAGTGCCTAAGGAAATCTCTCCAGACACCACATTACTAGATCTGCAAAACAACCAGATTACGGAGCTGCGCAAAGATGACTTTAAAGGGCTCTTTCGTCTCTATGTATGTACTGCCAAAGACCCCTCCCCACTTCTGATGGATATAAGCAGGACAGGAGAACCTAGCTGGGTCCACTCTGAATAAACAGTAGTTTCACTCAGGTGTAGCATTAAAATCTATTCGTTCTGCCAGGACTGGATCCTGGAACACTGAACTTCTGAACACAAATGGCCTTCACTATTTGCAACCGCCATTTCTCTCAAACACTTGGGATTAAAACACAGGACCCCAGGGATTATTCTTCCTGGAAATCTTGAGCCACTACCTGTATTATTTATCATGATACTCTGCTAAAAGATTTCTACAAGTCTCGCTCCATTCCTTAAATTGTATTTTCAAGCGCAAGCAATTGCATCTAACTTACCTACAATATTGCTTCTTTCTTTATATGTTACCTTCTACAAGTAGACTTGGGAAGTGTGCAGATATCTTATTTGTACCAATGGGAGTCTGGTATTTAATTTCTCTGCAAGAGTTCCTCACAAATTTCTCTAGCTGCAAAAATTAGCTGCCAGGATAATAACGGATTCCACCTTCTTACATCTATGCCAGCACATGCTCAAATGCTGCTCACTTGTCATCTCTTTCTATGACTCTACCCACAGGCCTTGGTATTGGTGAACAATAAGATCTCCAAGATCCATCCAAAGGCTTTTAGTCCTCTGATTAAGCTGCAGAAACTCTACATCTCCAAGAACAACTTGGTAGAGATTCCTCCTAACCTGCCCAGCTCCTTGGTGGAACTCCGGATCCATGAGAACAAAATCAAGAAGATCCCAAAGGCCGTGTTCAATGGGCTCCATAACATGAACTGCATTGGTGAGGCATCAAACCTGTCCCCATTTTTCTTTCCCAAAGTCATGCTTTGTATTTGCTCCTTTCCTTTAGAAACATAAGACACAGATCTTGATGAATGGTTCTTTAGAATGCAGAAAATTGCACCCAATATTGTGTGGCATGTTGGTTGGTCCTTTTAAAAAAACATGTCTAATATCAAGCAAGACTAGACGAAAAGGCCATTGGAGCTCTGTGTTCCCAATGTTACCCAATATTTTGGAACTGCAAATATACATTAACAATTTCTTCAGTAGTTAGTAAGTCAATCTATATTCTGACTTTATTTGCCTTCCTGGCATACGTTTTCATAACCATCTTCCCCTGCATAAATACATAGCATGCATAGAGTGATAAGTAATTGGGGAGAGAGGGGGGGAGGGAGAGAGGGAGAGAGGGAGGGAGGGAGAGGGAGAGGGAGAGAGAATAAACACTAACAAATCAGAGTCAATTGGCTAAATTTGCATAGAGGTTCTTTTCCATTGTTCATGTGAACATATGAGCAAATTAAAAAAAATCAAGAACAGAGGGTTCAAATTTTTTTTCCCACCTTTCCAAAGAACTCTAAATTTGCAAGCCAGCAATTTGGGAGGAATAAATTAGGTTTTGGGTTCAGATGAAGTTTGAGTGTGTTCATTTCTGGTTTATTTAGTTACTTAGGAACAAAACATGAGTGGGAATCTGCATATACTTTTCTTCTTCACTGTGTTCGTTAAGTATGCTTAAGAATTGATTAAAGCACAATCCAGCAAAACTTGAGCATTTCCATTAGAAAGTCAAATATATTCACAAAATTATTCTACTGGCTCCTGAAAGGACTTTTATATGCCTGGATCAGCTTTGGAAAATTTCTAAGTTTTTAGAGTATCTTAAGCTGAGGAGTTCTCTCACCTCCCCCAAATTCGACTCATTCAAAATATGATGCCATAATTAACAATATCCATTATCTCTTTAAAAATCCCATCAAGATTTTTAGGGCCTTTCCCCATGACTGAGTTTATTTGCTAACTATTCACCCTTAAATTGGCAGAAAACTGCACCACCAGTAAATTTATATCCCCACCTCTCTTGCTAATCCCTGTCCTGTATCTATTGCATTGACTCAAAATCTGCTCCAAAGGATATTGCCCTAAATACACATCTGCAGTTTGTGATTGATCAAGGGATTGATCAAACCCTTCAGCACTTTTGTCAACAGGCAGGGGAAATATCTTTCAATCTCTGCACAGCTGCAGGAACAAGATAGGTGTGACATCAGGAGTCTTTTAGGCACTGCTAGGCTACTTTGTGTACCCCTTCTTCCATATCCCTTTCAGGTGCAACTCAAGCTGAATTACAGGTTTTAAAAAAAAACAAATAAGAGTCACAAAGGGAAGTGAGTCACTTTTAGCATTTCCTGGGAGAGTGGGCCACCATTGCAGCAAGGCTACAACAATAGAGACAGTTCTTAGAACAATATCAGATGAACGGTCTATCCCTGTAGTGCAAATCTGCTGAACTACCAACACCAGGAGTGTCAAACTCAAGGCTCATGGGGCCGTCCTCGAAACAGCAAAGGACTGGCCCACGGTGCCTCTGCCAACGAAAACATGGCTCGTTTTTGCTGACAGAGGGCTGCAGGAGGCCATCGTGGCCGAAAACGGGGGGGGGGGCTCCATTTTCACTGGCAAAGGGCTAGAAAAACAAACTAAAAGCCAAACAAAACAAAACAAAAGGAGAAATGTTTCCCCTTTTGCATTTGAGCATCCAAGAAGGGACAGGAAAGGAAAAAGGGAAAGAGGAAATACAAAGAAAAAGAAGGAAAGATGGGAGGAGAAAAAGGAAGGAAAATTAAGGAAAGAGGGGAAGGTAGAAGAAAGGAGAATGAAGAGGGAAGGAAAAAGAAGAAAAGGAAGGAAGGAAAGAAGGAAGGAAGGAAGGAAGGAAGGAAGGAAGGAAGGAAGGAAGGAAGGAAGGAAGGAAGGAGATTATAATGAGAGGGAGGGTCTGAGGGAACCTTGCCTTAGCACATGGCCACCACAGGTGCCCCCGACATGAGTGACGTCGAGCTGGCCACCCCCCCCCCCCCCCCCGAGTTCAAACACAACCCTGATGCAATCCTCAATGAAATCAAGTTTGACACCCCTGACCTACACAATCGTGGTCTCTACATTCTCCACAAGCATCAGATTCCAGGGCCCAAAATTAGGCGAAGCAAGCTATACATCTGACATAGCACAGTTAGCTTAGTATCTTTATATACTGGGATGAAGACATCTTAAACAGTTGATTGCCCTCTATAAAGATAGAAAATAGACACAAATTCTTATCAATCCCAATGGTTTAATTCCAGCATTTCTCCCTTTCCCCTTGTGTCTATGGAGATGCTCAGTCATCCAGGTCATGGTTGTCTCAAAGATGCTTTTCAAAAGGCAATTGGACTGTCTTGATTTTTTATTTTTTTGCTTCAAAATATTTTGCTTCTCATCCAAGAAGCTTCTTCAGAACTATTTCAAAATATTTCGCTTTGTGCTTCTCAGTTTTCAAAGCCAACTATTGGCTTTTGACATTTCTGTCCTGAGAAACTCTAGTTCCCAATGTAACTCCCACATCATATTTGCTTTCAAAAGTAATATGGTCTCCCCTATTGATCAGGATCAACCATAGTTAACAAGAAGGACATGTCCATGTAGTTTTCTTTAATAACTCTGTCCTGCTCTGTAGGGAGCACATAGCCAAATGGTGGCAAAAAAAGGAGACTGGGGACTTGAAAAGAGGGGCAAATCCATCATGAACCTGAAATACCCAACTGACACTTTTTTTTTTTAATTTGATTTATATGCCGCCCTTCTCCGGAGACTCAGGGCGGCTTACAGTGCGTTAAGCAATAGCCTTCATACTTTTGTATATTTTATACAAAGTCAGCTTATTGCCCCCACAAACTGGGTCCTCATTTTACCTACCTTAGAAACGATGGAAGGCTGAGTCAACCTGAGCCTGGCAAGATTCGAACTTATTTTAATTGCAGACAGCTGGTGTTAAATTACAGTGCCTTGTCTGCAGAGCTATCCAGGCTCCTGCAGAGCTATCCAGACTTCTGTCTCACTACTAGTGACCTAACTTTTAGGGGTGGTGAATTGCAATGGATAATATACATCTTGAGTCTGTAGTTGGACAGAATCAGAATAACAGGGAAAACACTATTTTAAAATCAATTCTGCTAAGGATAGTTTAAGACCACCCTGTCTCATTCATGGGCCGGGGTGCAAAATGAGAGCAATATCAGCAGGACAAGGGGGGAGGGGCGGAAATGGCATTTATCAAAAAATAATTGTATCATAGTTAAATGCATCTGAGTACCCCGCCTTTATTACAATGGCAAGATCACTTGGAGAAAAATGCCCAAATTGCTTCACCAATAAATTTATTTAAAAATGCAAATGATTCAGATTGAGTCAAAGCATAGAATCAAATATACAGTACATATCTTATTCTTTTAACATCACCATTGCATTTAGCGAACATTTAATTGCTTTTCCATAAGCTTTGAGGGTGGAACTGTATGTTTCAGGCAAGCAAGTACAATTTGCTTTTTCCAAGAGGAAAAAAAAATGGGTTCAAGAAAGGGTAATTTGGAGCTGAGTTGGAAGAGGGTGGGAGGAGATGGGCCTTACTAATCCATAATCAAATAGAAACAGATTGTACTTTTGGCTCCTAAAGACTGATCACGATGTGCAATATCTGTCTCACCATGTTTGTAACTCTTTGCATTCATTCTTCCTTTACATGGCTATCTTAGAGAGAGAAGGAGAAGGACAAATAAATAAATAATGTAAGATATGCCATAAGTTGTGGAAGAGGGCTTGATTGATTTTATTTATTTAATTTTTTAGCGTATGGCAAATACATGGACTTATAGTAGTCCAAATGTTACTATCCAGTCCACCCAGCCATTCAAGGACAGGGTGGTCTATGTTGAAAAAAATCACACATTAGGCCAGTGTAAGCTCTTGATGGACATTCGGACACAATGTGATGGATATTTTGTCGAGGAGCACCACAGTCATACTGAGGGGTGGAGACAAGACCCCACTTAAACAATGAATCCTGGCAGACACCATGTTGGGTACGGATCCTGGTGAAGAAGGTCAAAAACCTGGCACCTTTTGTATAGGGTCATCTGCCTGTATCTGGGCGTTGAGCAGCCCATTTGGCTTTCCACAGTGGGTTGACGTCAAAGTTGTTAGACAGCTGTTGAGCAAATGCCAGAGAGGGCTTCCTGGATTTAAGTCTGCCAATTGATAGATAAGGAAGATCAGCGTGCACAGGAAGTGGGTTTCTCATAATTTGATTGTACTCCTTCTGCCATGTATATAGAAAGCCAAGAGTTCTACAAAGATGTCCGATAGCTCGGTTGAATCTGGATCTGATAGAGCCGAATGCTGTTGTTCTAATATGAAACTTATTTCTTTTTGCAGAGATGGGTGGGAACCCTCTGGAGAACAGTGGATTTGAACCCGGAGCCTTTGACGGCCTAAAATTGAACTACCTGAGGATCTCAGAAGCAAAGCTCACTGGTGTACCCAAAGGTGATATCTTCTCCATCTTCTCTCTTCTCCATATCTACCTTTTAATAAAATTCAGGGCTACGGCTTCTTTCAGCTTTTAATCCTAGAAGTAATGAATATGTCAGGGTTCCAAGTAATGAAATCAAAGCTCGGAGACCTGGAGTTTCCTCAAAGTAAAATTTTATTAGGAATGCCTTCTTGGCACAGCTGGTGAAAACCCAACTCTGAAGGACCCGAGGTTTTGCACACCGAAATCAAAACCCAAAGTTCATGCTGATATTCTTGTGATCCACTGGGGGTCACATATCCATCACATGGCCCAATCAGGTCACAATCCTCCTCCAGCTGTCTTTGGTACATGCCTTCCAAGGACCTGGTAGGGACGTCCTTGGCTCCCGCAGGAAAGAATGTTATTTTGGTTACTATTTTGCTTTTTCAAAGAATACTGAGAGGTACCAGCTGAATTCAGGAACGCAACAGTGACTCAGGAAGGAGACTATATTTTAGAAAAATAAGACACAGAATTCTTTATTTTCCCTTATTCTTCCACTAGAACTCTGGTCTCTTTAACCCAAAAATCCATCTTTCCTTTTCCTGCAAGGATTCTTTTTTGAGTTCCCTAATTTTTATTTATTTATTTTACTTCAGATTTATATACCGCCCTTCTCCCTAGGGACTCAGGGCGGTGTACAGCCAAGTAAAAACACATAAATACATAATACATAAATTAAGAACAGATTAAAAGGAAATATCTCAATTTGGCCCACAATTTAAAAAGACAAACAAATTTAAAATCATTTAAAATCATTTAAAAGGATTTGTTAGGCCAGCCCGGCTTGTTGAAAAAGGAAAGTTTTAAGGGAACGGCGGAAGGCACGAAGGTCTTGGATTCTCCTTATCTCTGGGGGCAGTTGATTCCAGAGGGTGGGAGCCCCCACAGAGAAGGCCCTCCCCCTGGGGGTCAGCATTGCTTGGCTGATGGCACCCCAAGGAGGCCCTCTCTGTGGGAGCGCACGGGTCGATGGGAGGTCGTTGGTGGCAGAAGGCGGTCTCAAAGATAACTAGGTCCTATGCCATGGAGCGCTTTAAAGGTGGTAACCAACACCTTGAAGCGCACCCGGAAGACCACTGGAAGCCAATGCAGCTCGCGCAGGAGCGGTGTTATGTGGGAGCGCCATGCAGCTCCCGTAATTACCCGCGCAGCCGCATTCTGGACCAGTTGGAGCCTCGGGTGCTCCTCAAGGGGAGCCCCATGTAGAGAGCTAATTTTAGATCATGTGGGGTGGGAAGTATTTAATATTAAACAATGAGAGGCAAAACTCCTTGCAATTTCCAGGAAATCACATACAATTCGACTATGAGGCATTGATTAGCCATCATAAGTAGTGGAGGTGACATATTGAATGGCATAGTAACAATATCCTGATGAAGCTTTACAGGTCATTCCCTCTCCTTCCAGATTCTGTTTCTTTCCACTGGGATCAGAACTTTTTCATAAAGGCTAAATAGAAATGGAATTCTTCTCCTGTTAAGGAAAATTTCTCCTTTTCGGTAGACCAGTCCAAATGTTGTGGCCTCGGAACATTTCAAAATGCATTACAGGTAGTCCTCGACTTATGACTGTTTGTTTGAGTGATATTTTACAACCTTTCTTGACAGAGTTGTTAAGCAAATCAATGCAGTTGATAAGTTAGCAACATGGTTGCTAAGTGAGTCTGACTTCCCCATTGATTTTGCTTGTCAAAAGGTTGCAAAAGGGGATCGTGTGACCCTGGGACACTGCAACAGTCATAAGTATGAACCAGTTGGCAAGCATCTGAATATTGATCACATGATCACGGGGATGCTGCAAAGGTTGTAATTGTGAAAAATGGTCATAAGTCACTTTTTTCAGTGCTGTTCTAACTTTGAACAGTCACTAAATGAATTGTTCTAAGTTGAGGACTACTTGTATTGCTATATCCCATTTTATTTCGTTTGCAGCATCATTTTCAGTTCAAAACATTCGTGGCAAGGTTCATTCAACAAAACAAGCTTATTTGGTTAATGATGATTCAATGCTATATTGAATCATGAACTCAGGCCATTGAGTTAAGTCAGGGGACTATAAAAGTTGGCTAACCATTGTTAGTGCATTGTGTAAATATAGCTTCTCTCTTTTTATTGTTGCTTTACCTATTCTGAAGCACTGTAGGATGCTCTGTATTTTAGAAAGGCTAATATTATCCTACTCTTCTCCTCCAACCAGACCTCCCTGAAACCTTAACTGAGCTACATCTGGACCACAACAAGATCCAAGCAATTGAGTTAGAGGATCTGATCCGCTACGCCAAAATCTACAGGTAGTGTGAATAGGATAATAATTCTTGAAGAGCTTGCCAGGATTGTGCAGATGAAATTTGGGGCAGAAGTAGGAAAGTCACTAATCTTCAGAGGTTACAGAACAACTTATCTCACCATTGGCTAAGCTATCTGCAGCTTTTATGAGTCGCAACATCTGGAGAGCCACCAATTAGGGTATGACTGAGATACAAGGCAGTTGATTTCAGGCTTCGCAACATAAAGATCAGAAATGAAAATAAGCTTGAGTATTTTTTTAAAAAAGGAAATTATCCTACCTCAAGTCTGTCCACAGCTCCTCATTGTGCACTCTAAGCAAGGAAGTCAAAGCAGCTCCCTGCTTCAAAGTCAGTTGCACAGAAGAAGGGAAAAAAAGAGGGGAGAATACAATAGTGCAGGGGTCTCCAACCTTGGCAACTTTAAGACTTGTGGACTTCAACTCCCAGAGTTCCTCAGCCAGCTTCAACTCTGGGAGTTGAAGTCCACAAGTCTTAAAGTTGCCAAGGTTGGAGACCCCTGCAATAGTGGGAGGCAAATCTGTGTTTTATCAAGTTGACAAAAATGTGTTGAGAAAATAGGGAACGTGTTCAGAGTGAACATATAGTAAGGGTTCTTTTTTTTAAAAAAAATGGAAGGAATGTTTCTCTTGTACTGGTCTTCCTCATGAAATTTTTGATACAGCTTTTAGTTTCCCTAGAGATGCAATTCTTAGCACGATGTAACAAAAATACTTTGTCTCTGGCCTTGAACCTTCTTCTGCATTTCCTTTTCCTCTGAGCTTGTAATTCCAAGATCTTTGCAGGGAATCAGTTCATGTTGACCACAAAAGTTGTAATGCCATATATGGAGTTAGAAAGAGCAAAGGAGGAGGTCCATTGAGTTTTAAACTTTATGCACATGTAAGCAAAGTTGTTCCATCTCTTCCATAACTTGGTAGTTGACAAATATTGGAGATTTCTGCCCCTTTCTATGCAGAGGGCAATCTGCCCATACCAAGTATGGGACCAAAGTCAACTTCTATCCTCCTAATTAAAACCTTCTATAAATTATAGCTAAAACTGAGGATTTTAGATCTTCAAGAAACATGTGTTTAAAGCACAGATATCTATTAAGTAGCGAACAGTATCTGCAACGAGAAAACAATTCAAAACACAAAAATAGAGCATTTCACCAGCCGGTGCCCAAAAGATACAAACAACCATTCACTCTCTTGTTCCTGACTTGCAATCCCTACAATCAGGCAATAAATTCTGGTTCAGCATTTAAGAGGTACATTTCTTTAAAAAGTTTTACCAAATAAGAAAGGAGAAGAAATGGAAGGGATAGGATAGGATAGGATAGGATAGGATAGGATAGGATAGGATAGGGGAGGGGAGGGGAGGGGAGAGGAAAGGAGAGGAGTTCTGTTAAAACCAAGGAGAACCCCCTGGGTAGGCAAAGACTCATTCCATTCTCTGTTTATAAACCTACATCTGCAACATCAATCTTCTACCAGTGTCAGAGAGGTCGGGAGTGCCTCCCTCTCATTTTCCTTTTTTGTGTATGTACCACAAAAGCACTCCTTCAGCATCTTTAACTGGTTAAAACGTTAAAATGTCTGAGCGTTTAAAATATCCACCCAGCTCAACTGTGGTCTCCCTAGCAACAAGCTCCTGAGAAATTTCTACTGCCACCCTCCCCCCTGCCCCTCAGGCTGTAGGTGAAAGCATTTTCATCCATGCACGGTGATTAGTTGAGATGCTTTCGTGACTTTGCTCCTCCAAGCTAGAGAAGAATTGCGACTGTATGAGGTCATCACAAGTAATCTTCCATGGTTCAGGCTAGCAGAAGGTATTCCAAGCATGAAATGGGAGGTAGAAATATGCAGACGTAGAGCCTACTAGCACAGCGTGCTCAGTATGGTGTATAATTAAGTGTGACCATGTGCAATTGTGCCAGCTGGTTCCTTTCTTTTCACCCTGTCATGAATGACTTAAAACAGCCAGCACCAGGCCGTTTAAGTTATTGAGTGGTCTCTATATCACTAACCAAAGAAACACATCTAAAACTGTCAATGAACAAAGATGATGGCCGTGTGGATGTGATAAACAAATTGAACGCATGACCTTGAGTCACAGAATGGTAAAATATTTGTTTTTCACCATATTTTATTATAGAATATAATTTCAAAGAATTAAACAGTTTCTAGGCGGGCCGAGAAGGCAGGCCTGGAAAAACAACTGGGAAAAATCCAGTTTTCTTAATTTTTCAATAGCTTTCTGTTAATCTGATTTAGGAAATGACTTAATAACTAAAGTAAAATCGCTCTTGGAAGTAATATAGCCATATTAAGTTGTCCAGTCAGGCTTTTGAATTTTAGTCTACCCCCCCAACTCACAAATTTATATTTGGAGATCTAATGTTGTTCTAAATAATGTAACATAGATACAATAAAGTCAGGGCTTCATCTGAGAAAAATGGGGGGGGGAAATAGGAGGTGGAGTTTTTTATTACACACTTTGTAAGCTTCACAAATACGTACTTAAACTAGGTCTACATATGGTCTGGCCTTTTTAAGTTCAATATATATTTCAGCCACTAGAGGGGGAAAGAGCAATATTTGTCAAAAGCTTTTTAACGGGTGTTCTAATTCTTCCTTGAAGCATTTTGATCTGAAGAAGCAAACTTGATCAGGAAAGCCTTTTCTAAGAATTTGCTTTCCCTGCCTCCCAAGGGGCCATTCCTTTCATCACTTCTATTGTATAAAAATCAGACAAAGCCCAAAGGATTAAGGTCATTGATTCAAGATTGAATCCCTCCACTTTTGATTTTTATACGTTGGTTTTGGGCTGATTTGGATGCAATGAAAGAAAGAATCTTTTGAGTTTTTTTTGTAAAAAAATGTTAATAGCAGCTCAGAAGCTTGACTGCAGTGCAGTGGGTGGCATAGAAATATGAATAATAAATAATAAATAAACACAGGGACATTATTTGTCCTCTGGTTTTGCCACACTGCTCCCCTTTGGGGACAGCTCCTAATAATTGTCAATATTTTAGAGGAAGAAATTCAAGTTGAAGCCATACCCAGGAAATTTGGCAGTCTTTCCATGCAGGGGAGTCACTTATCTTAAAGCTGGCCTTATTTCACACAAAGTTGCACATAGAGCACTAATACTTCTGGAGCACAGTTTTCGGACACGCAACTCTCTCCCCCCACCCATCCTCCCGTGTATTCTGAGGTGGTACAGCACTGTTTTTCAACTCAGCAACTTTAAGATGTGTGGACTTCAACTCCCAGAATTCCCAGCTTGCATTCCCTAGCCACCAAAAACACTGTGGCACAGTAAAAAAAAAAGAAGAAGGTTCTGTTGCGTTCACTTCTGCTTAAATAGGCTCCCAATAGCATCGCCAGCTACACTCTAGAAATATGGACTTTTATATCTTACACTAAACAGCAGCCCAAATCCTTCTACATCTCCTTCTCACCTTTTCCTTATTGGTCCACTTATCTAATCCTTAGCTGCAGTTGTTGTGGCGCACCGAGACATCTGCTTGCTGCATGAAGGAATGAGGTAGCTGACTAGAGAGAATCAGACAGAAGATGGCAGCGTAATCATACATTTGCTTTCTGCTTCATTTGGAAATTGAAATGTCTGTACCCAAATGCCCTGGGCCCAAATGCTCTGTGTCTTTGTTTTCTCATTCATCACCATCTTCATCTGTCATCTATAATATTTAAATATATTACCTGAGCTTTGATATGGAGTCTGTAAAATAGACAGATACGTACATCTTTGATGGATAAACTGCAAAAAAGCAACCAGGACCGAAATAAATCTGGTCTTCCTATTTTACTTTCCCTTGGCCCAGAGAGAGAGCTGAAGCTTTATCAAAGGGCGGGATTTGCTCCTGTCTACACACTTATGCTGTTTATAAGATGGAAATGGACTGAGTTGGACAAACCCTAAACAAGTAAGAACCAGAGTGGTGAAGTGGTGAAGATGCTAGACTCGGGCTGGGAAGCCCCAGCTTCAACTCTAACTCAGTTACAGAAACTACCTGAGTGATTTTGGCTCTGTCTCTTAGTGGTCCCTTCCCCAAAAGTTTATTAGAGGAAAAATTAGAGTGCTGTACACAGGTAGTCTTCAATTTACAACTATTCATTCAGTGACCATTCAAAGTTACAATGGCACTGAAGAAAAGTGACTTATGACCAGTTTTCATATTTACGAACGTTGCAGCATTTCCCCCCACCCCGGTCATGTGATCAAAATTCGGATGCTTGGCAACTGGCTTGTATTTATGACAGTTGCACTGTCCTGGGTCATGTGATTACTATTTGTAATCCTCCCATCATCAGAATTCCATGTACATTTTTGCAATCAAGACAGGCCAACTGCAACAAAGATTTCATAGCTGAAGGAAGGAAACATTAGAAAAGTCCTTATTCTTCCATTTCATGGCTCTTTCCCACCTCTGAATTTTGAGATGTCCAGTAATTTAAGGAAGAACTTTGGGGCAGAGTGGTGGCGTAGGGGAGGAAAAATACCTCACTGGCAGAGTGAGGGAGTGAAGTGAGGGCTGATTTCCTGCACTATAAAGTACACTGTAAAGCATCACACTAAATCTCCATTTTCTTTATATCCCCTTTCTCTCCTCATAGATTGGGCCTCGGACACAACAATATTCGCATGATTGAGAATGGCAGTCTTGCTTTCTTGCCTATCCTACGTGAGTTGCACTTGGATAACAACAAGCTCTCAAGAGTCCCTCCGGGATTACCTGATCTCAAGTTTCTGCAGGTATCCAATAAAATGCAGTTCTGTGGTGAGAAAAGTAAGGCCCTGCACTTAGGCAGGAAAAATACCCCCAAACGCACAGGTACAAAATAGACATTAGCTGGCTCAACACCTGTGAGAGGGAACTAGGTGTTCCATTTAAATATGAGCCAGCAGTGTGCTGCAGCTGCCAAAATAGCCAATGCAGTCCTAGGCTGCATCAACACAGGGCTAGCGTCAAGGTAGTGAGAAGTGATAGTGCTGCTCTATATAGTATTAGTAAGGCCATGCTTGGAATACTGTGTCTGCTTCTAGTCGCCATCAAACAAAAAAGATGCTGAGATCTTAGAAAGAGTCAGACAGAAGAGCAACAAACATGATAAGGGGTCTAGAAGCTAGACTATATGATGAACGGCTAAGGAGACTAAATATGTTTAGCCTAATGAAGAGGTGACACGATAGCCGTCTTCCAATACTTGGAATGGTTGTCACAGGGAACCTGAGGACAGGAAAAGAAGCAATGGATGGAAGATCATCACAGGAAGATCCAACATAGAACTAAGGAGAGGTTTCCTGGCAGTAAGAACAAGTAGTCAATGGAATGGCTTGCCTCCTGAAGTTGTGGATGCTCCATCACTGGAAATTTTCAAGAAAAAATTAGACAACCATTTGTTTGGGATGCAGTAAGGACTCTTGCCTTGAGCGGGGGGTCAGAGTAGAAGACTTCCCAGGTCCCTTCCAGCTCTATGATTCTATGATCTCCTAGATTTCAGGGAGTGCATGAAGTCTAGGAGATCATACTTCAAGCTTCAACAGTGGGCAACCTTAGAAAATTCATTGGGTTGACATAACCCAAAGAAATCCGGAACTCTGTTTTCTTGATTCTGTTTTGAAATACCTATGCAAATGGAACATGCAAGTGGAACAAGACATTGCCGTCCTTTACATATTGCCACATATTGCCTTTTCAGTTCCAAACTGTCTTTCATATCCTTTTCCATACGGAATCTGGCTCTGTTGCACTGCAGGTCCAGAACTATGATTCTGCAACCCAGCAAACTGATTTTGCAAATTCTCTGTGGTGTATAAAAACAATATATCGTAGTTATCTATATTCTGTATAGTTTCATGAGTATCTTGTGCTACTCTAATAATCATGGTTATTTGCTTGGAATTTTAAAATGTACTAGAAAACCCATGACCTTTTCGGTTATCTTTTCAAATATCCTTACCAGATCCTTCAATGCCTTCAACAATGGCAGAGCTTCTAATGTACCTGAAAAGTTCTTAAAAATTCAGGAAGATATTTATAAATGAATCTATCTTGAAATTAGCCCATGCTGAACTGTATAGTGCAGTCAAACATCAGGAGTCCAGCACCCGAAATGCTTTATGACATTTTTTAATAGTCATAAAATGCTTTATGATAATGTTTACCATAAAATGTTGTACAAAATTTGCCAAATTTTAATCCCACAGGAGTCGTGGGTCCCAGATTTTGGATGCATTCTCTAAGTTAGTCCATTTGAGGTTGCTTGGTTCAAAAGGTTTTGCCCTATGATACACCATTTTGTCCAGATACAGACCTGAGAGTTTTAAATATAGTTATCCTGCTAGGGGAAATGGATAGTGTACAATTTACAAAACTCAGTTAACAATACAAATAACAGCAAAGCTGGAAATTGTTATGTCCTTGGAAGGACACTGTGTAGAAATCAATAGAGCTTATTTTTGGTTGCTGTAAAACTATTATATGAATTCATGATCTTTAGACACTCAACCTTCCTATGACAACCTGTATCACTTGAATTTCCCTCCCTTTCTCCTCCCCCCAAAATCAAACCCCACCACATTCCGAACAAATTCTAATTGTTGCTAAAATAAGCTTTGTTAAATGGGTATACAAAAGGACCCAATGACTTAACTGGGATTCTGGGTTTTTTTGTTCTTAATTTTGGCTCCCTAGAACCATTGTTGGCAAAGTAAACAATGTCTGAAACAACTTTTCCTAGCATGGTGCCTTCCAGCTGTATTTGAACTATAGCCCCCATCATTCCCAGCCAATATGGCCATTGGCTGCTCTAACAGGCTAGTGCTTTAGGTAATAAATAAGCTGAGCTGAGTATTTTTTTATATATGATGGTCTACAAAAGAGTTTCCCCCTCAAGAATGATAGATTCCATGCGGTATCTCCAGCCATCTTATTAGCTTCAAGTTATCTCAAATTCAACAATAAAACAAAATGAATGTGATCTGAGAGAAAGATATGCAGGGGTGGGATTCAGCCAGTTCGGACAGGTTCAGGCGAACTGGATGTTAATTTTAATCTGGTTCAGCGAATGGGGAGTTGCAAGGACTAGCTGACCCCACCCACCCCACCCCGCCCCTCCCAGGAGTCTCCACATGGCCCGTTTTGGATGCCAGGTAAGTGCAGGGCCTGCGCCAAGGCTCTGGGAGGGCAAAAAATAGGCCTACCGGAAGTCCGGAAACAGGCACGTTTCTGGCCTCTGGAGGATCTCAGGTGCCCGGGGGAGACCGTTTTCATCCACCCAGAGGCTCAAGGAAAGCCCCTGGAGCCTGGGGAGGGTGAGAAATGGGCCTATCAGAAGTTCCAGAAGTCCAGAAAGAGGCCCGGCTTCCAGAGGGCCTCTAGTGCCCGGGGGAGGCCGTTTTCGCCCTTCTGGAGGCTGGAGGAAAGCCTCTGGAGCCTGGGGAGGGCAAAAACGCACCCCCTGGTCGTGGTGGAGGAGGCTGAGTAGGCCTCGTGCCCATGGCCACGCCCACCCAGCAACCAGGCAGTGAACCTGTTGAAAAAATTTTTCAGTTCCACCCCTGAAGATACATATGTTCCTTCTTGCTTATACTCTTCTTGTTCTTACCACGTGCAGAAATGTTACTGCCTATATTCTCATTATGGGGAGAGGCAAGGCTTTAAAAAGTAGCCTGTTTGTTTCCTCAAAATCTTAATCTTACCTTAATTTCTTGGGCTATGGGCCACCAAGTATATCGAAATGTGAAACTTGAACACTGGATCTAGTTTTAGCATACAGATAGGTCTCTATAGAAATTCTCAGTGATCCAGGTCAACAGATTTACATTCTTCAGTCAAGATAACATATGTGTCCACTTTAAATCCAAGAATACACTAAGGCAGAAGGCTTGTCCACCCCAAGGATAAAACACCCCGACATAAACTGAGCAATGTGGTATATGCAGTACAATGCAGTGAGACATGTGCAGATCTGTACATTGGGGAAACAAAACAACCACTTCATAAACACATAGCACAACATAAAAGAACAAACCTATCAGGACAAGTTTCAACAGTCCATCTGTATTTAAAAGACAAAAGCCACTCCTTTGAAGACAGTAAAGACCACATTTTGGACAGAGAGGATCGCTGGTTTGAAAGAGGGCTCAAAGAGGCCATCTTTGTTAAAATTGAACAGCCTTCTCTTAACAGAGGGGGAAGGATGCAACATCATCTACTGTATCTCCAGTCTACAACACAGTCCTTTCAGCAGTTCCAAGAAGGCGCCACACCCATTTGCACTATTCAGGTGACCCTAAGATAAACCTCTAGTGGCTTCAACGACTCTCTAAAAGAATGCAAATGACCAGCTGTCTGCAAGGAGTATAAATCATTCCATTCCCCACCATCTGGTCAGAGCTTCTTGGATGAGAAGCAAAACATCTTCAAAGAAAAACAAGAAAGTCCAGTTGCCTCTTGAAAAAAGCACCTTTGGGATACCGATAGGTCTTTACATTGAAAAGTGTTAAGATCTGAACTGATGTACAGGTGGTCCTCAACTTATAAACAATCATTTAGCGACTGTTCAAAGTTACAATGACACTGAAAAAAAATTACTTATGACTGGTCCGCACACTTGTGACTGTTGCAGCATCCCCATGGTCACACGATCAAAATTTGAGTCCTTGGCAGCCATCAAGTATGTATGATAGTTGCAGTGCCCTGGAGTCATGTGATTGCCATTTGTGACCTTCCCATCTCGCTTCCAAGCCAGTGGGAGAAGCTTAATGCCTATGTGATTCATTTAAGAACTGCAACCATTGCAAAAAAAAGGTCATAAAATCGGCCAGAGTTCACTTAACAACCACCTTGCTTAGCAATAGAAGTTCTGGCCCCAATTGTGGTCATAAGTTGAGTATTCCCTTTGTTCAAGACAAATGTCTCCATTGATGAAGGTAAGCCCAGTTGACCCTCCGCTTCTAACCAATTCTTTTGTCTTCTTCCACAGGTGGTGTACTTGCATTCCAACAACATTACTCATGTTGGCGTTAATGATTTCTGCCCTGTGGGCTTTGGGGTCAAGCGTGCCTCGTACCATGGAATCAGCCTTTTTGGCAACCCTGTGCCTTATTGGGAAGTTCAACCAGCTACCTTCCGCTGTGCCACTGATCGCCTGGCTATCCAGTTTGGCAACTACAAAAAATAAAAATCAAGAATAAACGAGGGTGGGAGGGTTGGGTAGAGGGACAAGGTAAACCCAATGGGGAAATGAGGGGGTGGGAGTAGGGAGGGGGATGTGAATCAGGCGATGGTGAAATGAGGCCCATTTTGGAGAAGTGGGAGTCACCAGTAGGGTCATGCTAACAGAAAAAGTCAAGAATTATTGACTTCTACGAGCCAGCCAATGTCCGAGATAGAGCAAGGGATGGGAAGGAAGTTCATAGAGCAAAGGGAAGAGAAATAGATGAAGATCTTACAATATGGTCCATTTAACTAGCCTACATTAGTCCTGCATTTGAAATCAGCTCGTTATGATCTGCAAACAAGTACTTGTCTTTCTAGTTCAAAAAAGGTTTGATGCTACTGCTGGCTTGTCTGGGGCAGAACAGGGTGGGAGGGGGTGGAGGGGTGGGATTTGAAGGGATTCTGGCCTATAGTTTTGTTTGCATGAGCAGTCCGTTCTCTCAGACCTGCTACACCGGTATTTTGTTGATTTGTGATTGACTTATGTGCCCCCTGAATTTATCAGCTTGCAGTATGGATGTCATTTTCTGACCGCAACCTTCATATGTTATAGAATGTGTTGGGTGATCCAATGAATTCTGTTTCTGCATTTCTTTAACTTGCAAAATCAGCCTCTGTATATCTTTTTTAAAAAACAAAAAAACAAAAACAAAAGAGGAAGGCACCTCTATATAATGTACATCAATCTTATACCAATTAAACTATCATGGCTTCTGCCAAAGTGTCCTAGGAATAGTTTGGTGAGCTGGCTGCAAAACCTCAACAACTCCCAAGATTCCTTGGGACAAGGAAGGGATTAAACAGACTGAAACTTCTACTGTGGCTTCTATATACCTAAGCCTCTAGCCGCTGGCAATCTGGCTTCTAAGGTGTTTGTCCAGTGTGGCTGGACAAACACCTATTATTCTACTCTTTATTACCGTCTTTATTGAAGAAAAATAGAACTTGTAAATTATCCTATACAATGTATAAGTGGCCTGTCTCGATATCTGGAAATGCTGGTTGTTTGAGAAGATTAAGATGTGAGCAACTGTAATGTGGGATTTTTGACTCATCCAACAGCAGCAGCAACAACTGCAATATCAGCAATCCCGGGCAAATTCTGCTACCAAAGTTCCTAGCTTCAATACAAATCAAAGTACAGCATATCGCACTTTGTTCAACTCAGGTTCCAATTACCGTAGCAAGTGTGACATTTTTGGCAAGGGTGGGCAGATGATGGAAGAAATGCCACCCCCTTTTGAGGGTTCTTTCTCTTAAGTAAGAGAGGCCCAGCATGTCTCCTATTCCAATTAGCCATGCCTTGCATTGAAGAAGAAGACAATAAGAGTAACTTGTGGATGCACAGAAGATCCAGAAAAGTTTTCTCAGTTCACTGTCCCCATTCTTCTCTAACCCCTCCTTGTTCTGCCTTCATTTACTCCGGAAAAGTGAAGTGGAGACTTGGTCCCTGCGGTCACGTCCCCCTCAAAGTGTTTTGAATATCATTAGATGTATGCCCCCCCCCACACCCCCATGGTTGCTTGGTTTCCTGAGGCCCAGATGCTAAGACGCATTTAAAAGAGGTGTTCATTGCTATATGCAGAGAATATAATGAGGGGTCCAGCAATGCTGTCCTACATTGGTAACTCACCTGTCTTTTCCAATTTAGTTTTCTGTCTTACAAGAACATTTAGAAAAACCTGCTATGGAGGTAAATAATGGAATAACTGCAGGGGATCCTTCGGTTGGTAACTCCGAGAAGCTTTTTGTCCAAAAGTCTTAGACATGTATCAATTGGGGTAGGCTGTTCAGCTCCAATCTGATTCATTGATCTGAGATTTGAATGGTTAATTTGATTAACTTGGAACTGATTCAAGGAATTGAGTCTGCCTGATTTTCTGTATTAATGGGGGGGCGGGGGGGAGATTTTCGCTCATGCTCAAAAGCCTTTCTGTATAGGCAAATCAAGTTTTCTGGCATCCTGACCTTTTGATCCAAATTGTCAATCTGATTTGGAAGTTAATTTGATTTTTGGTCCAGTCCAACTATTACATAACTGAATCGCCAATGTGAAGCTTTTGCACAACCCTATTATACAGTAGATGAGAAGTGGGCAGGGAATAGATAGCAATGGGATTTCTCAAAATAGGAAGGGGTAAAAATAGGGCATTTGGGACCCAGATATACCTAATGGATCTAGATTAAAAAAAATACCCAGCTCTGCCCAGTGCCATAGAAATGGAACCGAAGGACGATAATGAAACCAGAAGAAGCAGGCCCCAAATCCTGCACTTCTATTCTTCACTCTGGTGCAAGCTTGACAGCACATTGAGGATGATCAAAGAAGTAGAGATATTGAAGAACCTGGGGGTGGGGGTGGGGGGAGAAAACTAGGAATTGAGGTGGTAGGACAGCACTTTTCAATTACCCAGAGAATGTAAAGGGTTAAAAAAAAAAAAAGCACTATTCCAGAAAAGGGCAATGACAAGCCATTTCTATAACCCTACACTGAGTGTGACCCAAAGACAACTTTATCATTTCACAGTTGTGGACCGATTCCTCTTTTTTTTTTTTTCCTCAATCCACCTTATATCATTAAGTAGCAGATCTTCAGCCCAGACAAGGAACTTTAAACTCAGAAGCTTCAGGTCAGCTCTCAGCTATGACAGTCCCAACCCTAATTCAGAAAATACATCTCCCTGTTTTTAATCTTTAATTGTGTATGTGTGTATGTGTGTGGGGGGTATTTTTTTGCTCAATCAGAGGCTGGAAAGAAAAGAAATAAATATAAGAAATCTCCAGAGAGGTTAAGAAAAGCTGAGAGAATTGTTTACCCACAAGTTTTGGGTCAAACAATTTTCTTTTCCAAGTAGATATCAGAAGAGATATTCTTAGAAGCAGTACTGGATTTAGGCAGAAGCTAAACAAGGAACAGCTTTGGACCCCACAAAATTTCAGAATGTCAGTTTTCTGATTTTGCAAACAAGCTCATTATTAGTGATATTTAAAAAAGTAATTTTGTCAGCAGTTTGGTATGTATATTAATGTATCTTAAAATTATTTTTAAAATTACATTTAATGATTATTTCCAGGGTATATTGTATTATAATCTATGAGCAAAATCAAGCCAGACCAGTGATAAATCACTAAACATTTGGAAATACTTTTTTCACTTTAAATATTATTAAATAATTTAAAGGCTTATATATACATACATAAATGCGCACGCACATACACCTACAGTATATTGCACACACACACACACACACACACACAGAGGCACGCACATTTTCAATTTTTTTGTGGCAACCCAAGATCCTCTTTTGATATGGACCTTAGCAAAAAATCTTCTACAGTAGCCTTTTAACAAGGGATGTTTAGAACCTCACCAAATCTAAATCCTGCAATGCAAGAAGATGGAACCTATGAGAAACTATGAGAAACAGAATTACACGGATGCATGAACATATATTTTATATTTTTTATTGAAAGTTTTAACAACAATAATAAGAGCTAATGCACACTAGAACAGAATGAAAAAGAAGAAAGAGAAAGGGAGAAATAAAAGTTAAAGGTTAAAGTTAAAAGTGCTAAAAGAAAGAAGAGCGGAAGAAAACTAGAGAAAAAGAAAAAAGATATAAAGATAAAAAGATGTGGTTTTCAGTCTTCTTCACAACAGTTACAGCTACAATTATATTTTAACTTCTTTCTCTCTAAAGTTACCTCATGACTCTCTTCTTTCTGTAATCTATCCTGTCTCATCATCAAAACTATAAATCAACAGTTCATTTTTACACACAAAATCCATAACGGGTTTCCATTCATCAATAAATGTACGTGTTTCCATCTGCATGATTGGATACATATACCGTAGGCCACATCAGTGAAGGATCCTATATCATTGCTAAGTTTTTTGCCCAGTTCTTAAGATTTTTTTAAAAATCAACAGGCAAGTTATACATGTACCAGAGGTGGGAAACTATGGTCCATTTAAGACTTGTGGCTGACTCAGGAATTCTGGGAGTTGAAGTCCACAAGTCATAAAAGGGCCAGTTCCTCATCTCTGGATACAAACAATGCTAAGCTGAGGCGGTAAAGAAATAATTTAAGAAGAGGAAATTTTATTTTATTCACCTTGTCTTGAATTGCATTATCATATTTTAACACTGTCACCAGGTAGAACAAAGGCAACAGTTAACCACTCAATAAAAAAACATCTAGTTAAAGGAAAGGATGCAACTATAGGGATGAGGGAAAATAAGAGCAATTACCCAGGTATGAATTCTTGATTTCTCACATTCTCTTGGTGAACTTTTTAGAAAAAAGAAACTCACTTTTCACAATGATGTCCAGTTCCTGTAGAGTCATGTAGCTAAAATCTGTCTAGCTGTGAATTGGATAACTAAGCCTGTCTGGTAGCAGGAATTGACTTCCTAGTTTTATCCTTCCTCCTGTTAAAAAAAAGTAGTAGATTTATGGGTTTTATATATAAAAAAAAACATTAAGAAGCCCAGTGCAATATTGACTCTTGTAGAAGTATCCAATAAAGTTAGCAGTAATTGCCACCTTTAGCTGTTATCACTGGGGTTGGTGAATAAAACATCTTTTCGATTTAGAAACTCAAGCAGCAGTCCAATGCAGCCACAGGCAGGGAGACCAAAAGCAACTTTGTGCATTATTTTCTTTAGATGTCTATGTATGCTTTTAGGACTTTTTAAAGTGTCCATCTAAAAATATAAAGTATGTAACTGGCAAAAGAACGTAACCTGCTGTTGAATATTGTATGTGATGTGGCCATCTAGTTTACTACATGCAAATGTATTTCTGACTGAAATAAATTTTTGGCATTCAGCATATTGTTCCTATCCTTGAAATAGCCGCAAACATCTATTTTACCACATATATGCTGAAGAGAGATTTACAGCTAAATTGGACTTCTTACTGGATGTACAAATAAGTGATGGGGGAAAAACTGCCTGCTTCAAATCTAATTTTTTACATAAATGCACATTTAAACAGCACAAATTCTTAATTTTTAACAAGGAAGCCATTATCACTGCACTATTAAGGGATGGCAGTTGTATAAAATGTGGAAAAAATATAAATTAGTGCATCTTCTGATATAGTTTCGTTGATAATTATAAAGATTAGCTGGTTATACTTAACTGAGGAGCTTTTATGACAATAGCTTGCTATTGGAAACATGTCAATTTCTGCTAAAGCTTTTAGAGTTATTAAGAAGTTACGATGGCTTTAGTAGTCACAACCCTCTGTACCAAAGCCAATTGATGCTCCTGAAAGCTAAAATTCCAACATACATGGAAAGCATCAGGTTGGGGAAAGCTTCAGCATTCTTAGGGATTTCATTGGTTTATAGTTACTGGCAGGTGTATCCTCAAGGGTGGTGAAAAAAGTCAAAATGGCCACCTCAACCATATTATGTTAGCCCTGCCCCCCCTTTTTTTACTTCTGTTACTTGGAATGACATAAAAGGGGCAACAGTTACAACCATGCAGTTGCAGCCAATATCTTGACACCCTTTTCCTGTGAATATCCTTGGTTAAAGACCAATGAGTGGCAGTTATGGTTAGAAGATCCTGGCTGAAACTGTAGAATAGGGATAGCTGCAAACTAACAAGGATGAGTTGGAATAATAGCTGAAGGAAGATCTATGAGGATTCAGATACTTGATTTTTATACTGTGCTAAACTAAGCCAAGTAGTTTGTCTGGTTTGGGCTAAGCATGTAGTATAAATGCAGTCATTATGGTCTGTAAATCAAAGTTGGCTTATGGCCTAGCAGTTTATGTGAACTTTCCCAACTATGAATTCTTCAATAAACCAACTAAACCAAACCATGGTTTTTGGATTGTGCAAACCTGCTCAGACACCATGAGGGAATAGTTGAGGTGATTCTTTACTCGAATGTCTGATCAAAATGATAATAGAAAACAGTTCAGAAATATAGCTCTATATATATATATATATATTTAGCTCCATTTTGGTCCACAAAGAAAGGCTTGAGGGGAAATTGAACGGTAAATATTAATGGCTTAAATGCCCCAAAGAAAAGGAATCAAATTTTCACAAAATTATGAAAATTAGAAGCAGATGTGATATGTCTGCAAGAAGTACACATTCAAAAAGACTATCAAAAAATCCTAGAAAACCCCAAATTAGGAAAACTATATTCATCTCTGGCCCAAAAAAAGAAAAAAGGAGTAGTGATTTACGTAAAAGAAAAAATACAATCTAAATTAGTTTATACCGATGAGCAAGGTAGAGTGGTGATGTAGAACTAGAAATAAGAAAGAGGAAAATGTTAATTGTAGTGATTTATGATCTAACCAAAAACTACAGGTTTTTTTTAAAGATCTACACATAAAATTAGCAGAATTAGAATATGACGATATTTGTGTAATAGGGGATTATAATGCAATAGTAAATGCAAAGAAGGACTACAAAACTGGGGGGAAAAAACAAAAGAAAAAAGAAATACTTCCAAAAGAATTCTTTACTATGGCTGAAGAATTAAACTTGGCAGACATATGGAGGGAAACACATGAAGAAGAGGCCCAATACACCTTTTACTCCCATCTGCATAACTCCTGGTCAAGATTGGACATGGCATGGATGACCCCAAATATCAAAATAGAAGTAGAAAAAATTGAGATAGGCACAAACCAATGGGCAGACCACAATCCACTATTCATAAACTGGAAAGGGGAAAGAAGACGTAAGAGATGGACAATGAACCAAAGATTATGTAAAGAAAAAGAATTTAATTCGATGTTAGAAAAGGAAGTAAAAATATTTTTTTCAGATAAATAAAATAGAGGAAACCTCTTTAAAAAACACATGGGATACTTTAAAAGCATATATAAGGGGCCTAGTAATAGCATATACGAGGAAAAAGAATAAAGAGAAGAAAAAACAATTAGATAATTTAGAGAAAGACCTAAAACAAATAGAACAAAAACTCCAGGAAAAGCCCCAGAACAAAACAATTAGAGAAGAATGGGAAATGATTAAGCATAAATTGAATTTGATAAACCAAATAGAACTAGCCCAAAAAAATAAAAATGGCGAAACAAAATTATTTCAAACACGCAAATAAAACGGGCAGATGGCTAGCCTATAAACTGAAAAAAGAACAGAAAAAAAGAACGATATACCAATTGAAAGACGATAAAGGAGAAATTCAACATAGTAAAGAGGCCAAAAAAGAAATTATTAAGAAATTTTATGCGAATATATACAATCAGGGAAAAATAGAGGAAGATAAGATAAAACAGTACATAGGGAAATCAGGAATGCCAAAAATCACAGAAGAACAAAGAATAACTCTCAATAGGCCAATAACCAAATTAGAATTAGATGAAGTACTGAAAAAGCAAAAAAACAATAAAACACCAGGACCCGATGGGCTACCGGTAGAAATATATAAAACAATGCAAGAAGTATTGGGAGAGAATAGGTTGCGATTATATAATGAAACTATGGATAAAGCCAAAATACCAAATTCATGGACAAAAGCCATAATAACAATCATTCCAAAAGAAGATACAGATCTCCAGTTAATTCAAAACTACAGACCTATTTCATTATTGAATGCCGATTACAAAATATTAGCAGCAATCTTGGCCGAAAGGATTAAATCAGTATTAAATACATATATACACCCAGACCAAAATGGATTTCTGCCGGGACGCCAAATAAAGAACAACATGAGAATAGTACCGTATTTTCCGGCGTATAAGACGACTGGGCGTATAAGACGACCCTCAACTTTTCCTGTTAAAATATAGGGTTTGGGCTATACTCGCCATATAAGACTACCCCTCTTCCAATGCACACCAAATAAAAATTAAAAAACATCAGCTGGCTCACCTACAATGTAAAAGCAGCTGTGCTAGACCCAAAATGGCCCCTGCAACAAGCAGGAACCTCACACAGCCACAAAAAGCCCCCCCAAAAAACTTTCACACTCTAAACACACACAATACAACACAACTGGCTCACCCACAATGTAAAAGCAGCTGTGCTAGACCCAAAATGGCCCCAAGCAGGAACCTCACACAGCCACAAAAAGTCCAAAAAACCAACTTTCACACTTTACACACACAAAATTCCACATACAGCTTTGTGAGATTTTGTGTGTTTGTGTAGTCAGAGTGAAACACTACAGAAACACATAAATCTCAGAAAGCTGCACAAATATTATTTTATTTTATTTTATTTTTATTTTTATATGAAAGCTAAATTTAAAACTTCCTAAACTTTAAATGGCTAGGTCTAAAAAAGAACAACTAAAAAAAACCCAATTGACTATTTTTTTTAAAGCTCCCAAAGGGGAAAAAAACTTACCCAATAGAACAGGGGTCTCCAACCTTGGCAACTTTAAGACTTGTAGACTTCAACTCCCTGCTTGCTTGATTGCTGATTGCTGATGGAATAGATTCAGGCAAGCGAAGCAAGGCAAGCGTTGGGACTAGCAGCTGAGGTAAGCAAGCTGGAGGGGGAAAACTTTTTATCTTTTACATGGCTCTGGCCATCCCAGCTGAGTTGCAGGGAACTCAGCTGGGATCGTCAGAGCTGGGATCGACCGTCAGAGCTGGGACCGTCAGAGCCATGGTTCTGGCGATCCCAGCTGAGTTGCAGGGAACTCAGCTGGGATCGTCAGAGCTGGGATCGACCGTCAGAGCTGGGACCGTCAGAGCCATGGTTCTGGCAATCCCAGCTGAGTTGCAGGGAACTCAGCTGGGATCGTCAGAGCTGGGATCGCCAGAGCTGGGATCGCCAGAGCCATTTAAGGCTCATCAGAGCCTTTCGGGCTGGTCTGCCTGGTTACAGGAGAACGACACCCGGTGTATAAGACGACCCCCGACTTTTGAGAAGATTTTCATGTGTTAAAAAGTCGTCTTATACGCCGGAAAATACAGTACTTAATGCTCTAGAATATTATGAATCACACCCGGAGAAGCAGGCAGCGTTGGTTTTTCTTGACGCCCAAAAGGCCTTCGATAATCAAAATTGGAAATTTATGATTGAACAATTACAAAATATGCAAATTGGGGAAAAATTTGGGAAAATTATAGCAGAAATCTATACCAAACAATCAGCAAGGATAATTATGAATAATGATATAACAGACAAATTTAATATAACAAAAGGAGTCAGACAAGGCTGTCCACTTTCCCCCTTACTATATATTCTATCATTGGAAATCCTGTTGAAAAAAATTAGAGAAGACCAAGGAATTGAAGGTTTAAGGATCAATAGAGAAGAATACAAAGCTCAGGCCTTTGCTGATGACCTAGTGTTTTTGATAGAAAATCCTATGGAATCTATACCTAATTTGTTCCCAAAAATAGAAGAATTTGGAGAAGTGGCCGGACTAAAAATCAATAAAAGTAAATCGAAGCTAATTGTAAAAAACCTTACGGAAATCCAAACAAAAGAATTGACAGATAATATACAAATCCAAACAACAACAAAAATAAAATATCTAGGAATCTGGTTATCTACAAGACCATCAGCAATTAAAGAAAACAATTATGATAAATTACTAGAACAAACAAAGAAAGACTTAGAAAAATGGGAAAATTTACACATTTCATTCCTAGGAAGAATTTCGGCCATCAAAATGACTATATTACCTAAATTTTTATATTTGTTTCAGGTCACCCCAATTAAAATAGATAAACCGTTTTTTGAAAAGCTGAATAAAATAACATCTAAATTTATATGGCAAGGGAAAAGGCCACGAATAAAATTTAAGCTGCTTCGGGATACAAAAGATAGAGGAGGAGCTGCACTCCCTGACTGGGAGGTATATTACCAAGCAGTAGT